GCCCCCAACGTCCAGTCCATCCTGGTGGCCAGCGAGGACGACATCCGCTGGGTGTGCGAGGACATGGGGCTCCGGGACCCCGAGGAGATCAGGAGCTACATGGAGAGGATCCGGGGCAGCTCCTGACCTGGCGGGGTCTGTTCCAAGCCCCGGTTGATACCAGGCCAGGCAAACCAGTAAGGGACCAATGTCCTCCTCCCCACACCTCCCTGCTGCTTCCTGGGGAGACACATTCCTCTCCCACTTGCCCTGCTTGTGGCAGGCCGTGCCTCTCCGGTGGACCCATCCCCTCCCTGGCCAGCGTGGTGGCAGGAGCCCTGCACCACCGGGGCACTGAAGAGACCCCCCTGGACACCTCCACAGAAAGGCATTGCCACTGGAGACATGCTCGCATAGCGGTTGCCTCCTTGCTCAGGGCATCTTCTGTCCTCGGGGTCCATGCCAGCTACCCAGGCCCAGCTTCTGGGAGCTTCACCGCTGCCACCATGCACCCAGGCGGCCTGCTGGTTGCCTTGGCGTTGGAGGGTGTTTTCATCACTGGAAGTTGCCCCAGAGGGGAATTGCATGGAGGAAGCCTTGGTCCCCTGATTGCTTTGGGTCTCATTGCGACATTGTGTTCATAGTGATGATGAGTCCTGTGGTCTGATCCCAGGGACCGGCCCGTGTCCCTCAGCCCCATTCCCAGCCCTGTTCCCTTGCAGCAAGGAGGGGGACTGGGGGAACAAGCTCATCCCCACCTTCACCCTGGCCGTGCATCCGTTTTGTATGATCGGTATTTTATACCTGTAGCATTGTGGGAAGGGGCTGCCACAAGGAGTGTCTGTTATTTATGGAAGATTTTTAATTCTGACATTGTTACAAAAATAAAATATTTTAAAAAGCTGATCTCCCTCCTCCCTGTGGCCAGCACGTTTGTACCTGCTGGGAGGGGAAGGGGACCGCAGCACTGGGTGCCTGCGTGGCCACCTCCTGTCACAGCCCCCATTTCGCCGTGACTGGCATAGGGTGGGGGGGATCGAGACATGGTCCTTCCATCTGGAAGGGGCTTTCCATTACAGCCCCAGCTGTGCTGGAGAAGCTGCGGCAGGGAAGTACATTGGAGAACTGCAGGAGTGCTTGGAGGAGCCCACCATGGGCCCGCCGTGGAGGAAGGAGCCGACATGTGGCTTTCTGGAGGCTTGAACTGACCGCAGAGGATGCAAGGCCTGGGCTTAGTTTAGGGGGGCTGTTTGCATCGGGCTTCATGTAGGAGGGAGAAGAAGGCAGAGCCAGGCCTGGGAAGAGGTTTGGGATCTGACTGGGGGGCTGGGGTGCCCTTGCCGTGATGGCCCTGTTGGCACACACGCAAGCCGGGCTGTGTGGCTCCGCTCGGCGCTGCTCATGGACTCCCACCTTCCTCAGCCCATCCAGACCTAATGCACACAGGACCAGCGCTGGATCCCCACAGCAGGAGGGCCCTCCAGCTAGAGCAACAGGCCCCACAAACAGTTGGACACCCCTCTGCTGTCCTCTACCCCACAAAAAACCTGGTGAACCATCTCCCCCAGCACACAGTTAGGCAATAGGTTTACTGGTGAAATCCAGCAGGTTAAGGGAACATGTCCATGGCCAGTCCCTTTCTTCACGGATGCACTGTGGCTTCCTACTCCTCTTGAATCCCCACCAAGCTGTTCTGGTGATCTTGAGATGTCCCCCCATTCCCTGACAGGATCATGCCAGGAGAGCACAAGGGGATGCTCACTCTAGCCCTCTCCATCATCCTTTTTCTTGGAGGCTCTCAGTGGGATGGACCAACTCAGGGCTGCATCAGCAAACAGGGATGCAGTAAACCTTCCCTCCTGCCTTCCCACACATCTAATTCCCTTTCATGGCCGGTCTCGAGCCATTCTTGCTGCTCCCATTGAAGGGGAGGGTCTTGGGGCTGCAGAGAGGTGTTGAGCAGAAATCTTTATCACAGTGGGGCTGTCCTGAGAACCTGTCCCACATGCCCTAGTGGGAGTGGGGCCAGCATCATGTCTCCGATTGAGTTGATATGGGAATGGGGACAAGACTTGGGTCACCTCTGATAGTATCAGTCCTCCTCCTGCTCCACGCAGAGGTGACAAGTGCCAGGCTGCTGTGGCTGTTTTTCATAGTGCACAGAGATCCAAGCGAAGAGAAGGCAGGTAACCAACTGGATGCCCGCCAGCAGGAAGAAGTAATAGTCCATGTGGCAGTTGTTAATATTCCCTGTGAGCAGAAGGGACAGTCAGAAGCCAGGAGGGCCCTAAGGACACCCCTGTGCTATGCTGCAACCCATCCCTGCTCTGCTGGCCACAAAGGTGGGCTAAGCACACAGGGAAACTGGTCTTGCTGAGGCATCCAGAGCATGAGACCCAACCTCAGACCTCCACCCAGCGCCACTGGCTCATGGGGCTCAGCCACATCCCCGCAGCGGGCGGCAGGGCTCCCAGCCTGTGCTTACCGTAGTCCTCTGGGCAGTGCATCCATCCATGCGAAGGCAGGGAGAGGAGGGTCAACAGCCCAGAGCCCAGGAGTGAGCCCACCCCGGAGATGAAGAAGAAGAGACCCATGATGACTCCTTTCATGGACTTGGGGGCCTCAGAGTAGGCGAACTCAAGGCCTGTGAGAAAGCAGACAGAGCACGTGGTCCTGGAGGCAGGGCAGGGCCTTGAACCCTTCGATGAGGTCTGCCATCTTCCCGCCAAACAACCTTGCCATGGGTGAGGTCTGCAGAACGCACGTCACTGCCTGGCAGACTGCACACAGCCGGGCGCCCCGGAGCCGCGCAGGGCAAGGAGGGCACTGCTCACCTGGGATGCTGACAAACAGCTCACTGATGCCGATGAGCAGGTACTGGGGGATCTGCCACCAGATGGGCAGCGAGGCGGCCACGTAACTGTCCTTGCCAATATGTTGCGAGACAGTCTGGTTGTGATGCACATACTGCAGGCGCTCCCTCTCCAGGACCCCTGGGGGAGATGGGTGGTGAGGACAGAGGGAATCCCTGCCCGTGGCAGGCTCACATCCCGGTTTGCTCATGCTGGGGCCTCACCTGCTGTGAGGATGGAGGCAAGGCCAAATAACATGCCCAGGGCCATTCGCTTGAGTGCTGACGGCAACAGCTTCCACCTTACCAAGAATGGGTCAATGACACGGTCTTTCAGGGGCACCAAAGCCAGTAAGACCACCACGTTGGCCAGGAGGAGCCAGGCATCTGGGAACTGCAGGCAGACAGAGGTGGAGACCCAGCAGTTGTTCTCAGAAAGGAGCTCAGCATCCCTTGGGATGCCTCTGGTTTCTGATGTGGCCCTACTTAGCAGATCTGTGAGCTCTGAGCCCTCTCTCTTACCATGTAGTTTTGGGTAGTGCTGGCATGGGCCTGGCCGTGCTGGAAGATGCTAGGGATGCGGAGGTGTAGGCCCTGCAGGTAATAGGTTGACTGCATCTAAAAGACACAGTGAGGGTGGCTCTGTTGGCTCAGTGGTGAGGGGAGAAAACGCAGCTCCTGAACAGACCCACCACCCTGTCTGCCCACAGCCCTCCCTCCAGCCAGCATGAAGCATGTTCCTTGCTGAATTAAACTGCCCCAAGACTGTTTAAAAAAGCGGGAACTCCAAAAGCTTCCAGCAGAGCCAATTGTACAGCTCTGGGTATTAGGTGACATGTGGTACGGTGTCCCAACTCAAACTCAGGTCTTGGAACCACCTGCAAACCCTGCACCACATTCCCCCTGGCTCAAGATACTCCTGAACAGCCTGATCCTCCACTCCCTTCAAAGACATTCCTATAGGCTGTTCCTCTTGAGCAGCAGTTGAGTACTGCCTATTCCCAACGTCCTGGCAGATGCCTGCCTGCAAAGCAGTCCCACCATTAAACCTGATCTGGGATCCATCAGTTCTCATAGCTACCACGCCACTTGACTGGCAGAACTCAGTGTCTCCAGCTGGCGTCTCTAGAGAGACAGCCAAGGCCAGGATTTTCGGTCTATCTTGCCCCTTGCCTAGGCTACCCGACTGCCCAGTACACACCTCACCTGGAAGTAGACCATCCAGTAAGGGATGAAAGTCAGCATCACGGGAAGGATCTTGGTCATCACCCGGAAGTTGGCGAGGTCTTCCTCATGAGATGGAGCCCCGGGTTGTGCTCTGCTACTGGGGAAAGACTCCCTAGCCCCAGTGTGTGACCAGCGAGTAGGAGGAAAGGACAATGTGAGAAGGGTCAGACATGGGATGGCTCAGCCCCATCACACCCCCAGACCTGTCTCACCTGACCCTGTTGCCCCCCAGCCAGGTACAGCCACAGCTCTGCAAAGCTAGTTTGATCATGACAGAGACTTGGCTGCCTGTGGGGGGCTTGGTAACAAAGGTGGGGGTGGCCAGGAGGAAGATGAGGAGGGCTAAGCCCAGGCAAGCAACAGGGATGAGGTAGCCGACCAAAAAGCTGATGTTCTGCTGGATGAAGGCCACCACCAGAAGAGCGAAGACAGCCCCTATGTTGATGCTCCAATAGAACCAGTTGAAGAAGCGCCGTGTGGTGTCCTCACCCCGGTCAGTCACCTGCCAGCGCGAGAGAAGGCAGTGTGGAGAAATGTGCCCCATAACCAGCTCAGTGTCAGCAGTGCCTGGATAGAGCCAAACCTCAGTCCAAATACAAGATTTCCATCTCATCCCTGTCCTACCAACCTCCCACATCTCTGCTGTGCTCTAACACTCTTCCACAGCCTCCTCTCACCATCTTCTGCCTCTCTTCAACTCTCACCTTCCAGCTTTCTGCTCCTTCCTATGCCCCACTTTCCCGAGTAAGGTTCTGCCAAGGGCCTCAAAGAATTTGCAGGTGGACTATGGTGATGAAACCATCCTAGGAATCAGCATGTCAGTTCTTTCCCACAGTCTTTCTTCCCGGGTTGTGAGGACGCTACCCGCTTGTCTTTTCAGTGGAGGAACAAAAACTGGCATTATTTATTGCACATCAGCACATGGCAAATACCCTTAGCTGGAGGAGCTTTTTGAGGAGGATCAGATAGAGCAGGACACGGCAGGAAGGGCCACTTACCTGGTCAGCGCCAAAGGAGGTAAGGTTGGCTCTGGCAGAGCTGACACCCAGAGCCAAAACCAGGAGGCCGGAGTAGACCACGGGAGCACAGTACTGGTACTGGGGATGACCCAGACATGTCTTGCTGTGATCCACAGAGCAATTTTGGATGGAGTAGGAGGGCATCTGCCCACACAGGGAGAGGCGCCCATCGAGTGAGGCTGTGGTGGGCAGCAGGCAAGCTGCCAGGAGGTACAGGAAGAAGCTCAGGGCCACGGTGCCATAGCGGCCCAGGTAGACATCCGCCAGCCAGCCGCCAACAGGCGAGAGTAGGTAGGAAGCCCCCAGGAAGAGCAGGGAGGCACGGGACGCCTGGGGGCCACCCCAGTTGAAGGTGCTGCTGTTGAGGTAAAGCACCAGGTTGGCTGTGATGCTGAAGAAAGCCGCCCGCTCCAGGCCCTCCACCACCAGCACAGCCATGCATGCCGCCCAGCGTCCCTTGAGCGGTGACCCATCGCAGGCCCTGCCCGTTGCCAGCAAGGGCCTTCGCTCCCCACGGCGACCCGCTGGGGTCATGTCCTCCTTTGGCTTGTGGTCGTGGTGGACCTCTGCACCGTCCCTGGCAGCTGGGGCTGCTGCACAGCCCTTCACCGTTGCATTCGTCTGGGACGGCCACTTCTCCTTCTTACGGCTCTCCTGGAAGCCCCTTCCTTGCTCAGCTTTCCCCTCCAGGTCTCTGACCCAGGCTCTTTTCCTTGCTGGATGGGTTTTCTCCAGCCTCTTCCGCCTCCGAGCCCTATCCCCTCCCCGCCCCTCCCCGGCTTCTGCTTCTGCTTTCTCTGATGAACAGAGACATCATATGACAACCCGTGGCTCAGAAGCGAAAATCCCCAGCCCCGTGAGCTAGCGCAGCTTCTTCTTTCACAGGGTTGCAGCCCTCCCAGCCTCTGCGCCCTCCGAAAAAAACTCCACCAAGGTATTTGGACTCCTCAGTCTGGGGTGTCTGTGGTGCCGAACCCCCCGAGCTGCCCTCTGCCATGGGCACAGGAGCATCCAGGGCTCATTCCCCGCTGGAAGTGCCATGCTCAAGATGGCCGGAGTCAGGCTGCGAGAGCCTCGCTCCAAACCGCTCTGCTGACCTCCTGCCACCCACAGATTCATACACACAAATCACGCAGCTCGCAGAGGTCACAAGTGTTTGTTTTGCCACTCAATTTCCCAAAGAAACGGGATCACCCACTCCCTGGGCATGTGTGCAACTTCTCTGGGCTTGGTCACATGCTAGAAGATTTTAAGTTTCAGAAAACCAAAGCGGGTGGCTGAGGAAGACAGGGAGTGAGGGGGAGCGATACACCCTACTGGACCCCAAAGCTCAGGCCCTGGGTTGTCATAGCCACCAGCAGGGTGCTCCCTTTCCTTCCCTCCCACCAGGTGCCTGCTCCAAGGTGTGGGGTCTCCCCAGGGACACCCTGCTGCCCTGTCGCAGGGCACAGAGGGGCCCCCCAGCCTCCAGAGGGCAGCAGGGATGCACTGGCAGGCGCCCTCCCTTGGTCCCTGGGCAAGGCAGGATGGCTGCTCTGAGGTGGCAGCAGGATGAGACCAAACATGAAGTTTGCTCCCCAAGAGACTCCTGCTCTGGCTCTCAGGGTGCCTGTGGCACTGTTGGAGATGCCCTCAGGCTCTCTGCACCAGCACCCACTTCCTCCATCTCCCTACGGAAACCAAACAGTTCAGGTAGGGCCATGAGCCCCATGGAAGACCACCAGGTGGGACCCCATCCGGGAGCTGGTGGGACAGCAGGGGATGCAAATCTTGGCCCCAGCAAGTCCTGCATCCCTCTGCGGCTGAGAACCAGTAGGTGTGAGACCACAAGGTCCTCATGGCTCCCCAAGGCAGTGCTGTCACTTGCAGGGATGCAGTGGACATGTAGCATGGGCCCAGAGCAAAGCCATGAGAGAACTCAATCTACTTCACTTCCCTGTTCAGGGGTGCCACTTCCCTCCAATGAATGGCTTAGTTGTTTGCTGCACCTTGCAGGATGGAGCCACCCCAGCAACTTGCTCTGTTCTGCTCACTTCTCTCCCTCCACCCCCAAGATGCTGAGCTGGCTTCCTGGAGACCTCAACCACAAGACAGAAAAGGAGAGAGAGGCAGAGAGAGAAAGTGCACAGGGCTGCGCCAACCCCATGTCTTCACTGAGAAAGGACAGGGCTGTCTGACCCTGCGTCTCCCAAGCCCATGATGGGACCACTTGGCAGTCTGTGAGAAGGATGGAGGTGCTCTATATGCTCCTGGCAGCTCTCTTCTTGACAGCATCCAGACAAGGTAGGCCACCTTCATCGCTCTCTCCCTCTCATTTCCTTCCTTCTCATCTCTTCATAAGGGAACTCCAAGCGCAAAGTCTCATACTGTGAAATTCAAGTTAAGATATTTGATATTCTGCTTGGAAATGGGCACTTTCTGCTTCACCCCATTCTGGGCCAGTCTCTCCTTAGACATAGATGGTTGCAACTGTCTTGAAGCTGTTTCTGCAAACAGAGTGCATGTTATCGGGGTTGATTCAAATTCGGTGCTGAACAAGGGAAACCAGCCTTATTTCCACCCTGAGATGCTAGGCACAGCACCGGGCTGGGGCGATCGCCACCTTTCCTTCATATGCCTTCTTACTGCTTGCTCAGAATGAGCAAAAGGGATTCCCTTTTTGGGTGTTACTGGGTTTGAGAGCTATAAAAGGATTCTCAGGACAAGTGTCTCCCAAGGTGGGAGATGGAGGTCTTTCCCATGCTCTCGGTCTCCTCCATCTCGAACAGCCATTGTGAGATAAGGGCACAAGGGACAAATCTGAAGGACCCTGAGATGAACTGTCCCACTCTCCAACTCCTCCTGCCTTGTGGAGGACGGCCCAAGCCCTCTACTCTATATAGGCAGCTCTTTTGGCCATTACTTACTGTAAATCTATCTGCCTTCCTGTCAGAGGGGATGACCAGGCCAAGATGCCCCAAAACATCACCAAAGAAAGCAATTGCCCCCCAAAACGAAGTTCTCTTGCTTTCCCTCCCATCCCAGTCTTGGACCTGGAAGCAGAGCTGAGATGGAGAAGGAGTCACCAGAGGGATTCATGATAGGGGTGATGGGGCTGACTGCAGAGGCATGTCACACAGATCAGCATGGGAAGATGGGTGACGGCAGAGCACAGATGGCCAGAGACCTGCCCTATGAAGAGAATATATGGCTGCTGATGTGCTCCCAAGAAATCTTTTAGGGGACATTTCCCCCATGAGTGCCCCATCCTCCCCGGTTCCTGTGGCAGGCCTGGGCAGAGCAACAAAGCCTTCCCATAGACAGCCACACAAGGCCAAGGCAATAGGAAATTGTCAGTGAATTAATGGGCTTGGGAAGGCTCTCCCTGCTTTTTTCCCCCCATACTGAAGTCTTCGCAGACAGCTGTGAATTAATGGAAGGCCACATGGCCACAATGAACGGACAAGACTTTCTGCTGATGAAAAATTGAGGCAAAGCACTTCGCTAATGTCAGCCTTAGATAATCCAGGGCTGTTATTGGTATTGTTATTGTCCCAGGAAAATGTAATTTAAACAACTAATATAAATGTGGCCTTCACTGAATTTTAGGCACCTGGCCTAAATATTCTGTAAGTCTCCACGGTATGGGAAATGAAGGCTCCCAACAGATGGGTCACATCACCTGCATTGGGTATTGTTCTGAAATTAGCATCAAGAAGTGGATAATTGCTGTAATTAATACATGGGCTCACAGGCAGTCCCTGATACCCTCCGACCTACTGGTCCTTCAGCATGTGAAGGAATCCCCTCCTTTTCTGCTGAGTGAACGAACAAGCTGGTTTCTCTGGGACCCACGCTCCCACCATGCTGCTCACTGCTAGGATTTTGGTGGCTTTTCTCCAACTCTCGTCATCGCTTATCATTTTGTCAGTCACTGCATCTGAGCAGAAAGGCTTCTTGGGACAGTGCCACCACCTCCGCCCAGTTTTGCAGGGTTCGGTGTGTGTTTGCACCTAAAATGGCTGACAGAAACAACAGCTAATTTTGTGGCTGCTGTTGTTCCTGATCAATTAACGAATTATCGTCATCTCCTATGCTTCTTCATAACAACTCCTCTTTGCTTCTTCACTGTTCTTCTGTTATCTTCCTTGCTCATGGTGGCCTGGATGTTTTGGGGCACAATACTTTTACTTCTGTTTGTGCCACTTAAATACTCAAGGAGGAAGAGTGGAAAGGAGGAAGGCTGCCAAAGGGACTTTTGGGAGTGCTGTGTGCATTCTCAGTTTTGTTTTCTGAGGGGAAAAAACTTCCACATCCTAGGAAATCCCCAGGATCTTAGCCCTGGCTCTTCTCACATGCCCACCACTGGCAGGGTCTGCACAGAGGGATACCAGCACTACCTCCTTTCTCCCCACACTCAAAACCAAACATTTTTATGGGGCTGGGGCAAGTTACACAGCTGTCCTGGACCTACTAACAAGGCTGTTCAGGGCTGTAAATCAACTGCCTTTTGCCTGTGCTAAAGCATCCTAGGTTAGGGCTGGAAGAATGGCCATAGGGGGTGAGCTTAAAGGTTCCTCCATCCTAGTGCCCTCCCTCTCTAGCCAGTCCCAGATGCTCTCACAAGCAGCAGGACACAAGAGCAGTAGCTTTTTCCTGCTATGCCTGTCCTGCTTCTGCTTTGCATGCCCATCACGCTCCCCAGGTGCCTTTCGGGGCCTATTTTTTCATCTCTTTTATCTTTTTTTTTTTTTTTTAATAAGAAAACTGGAGACCGTTCAGGCAAAAAGCAGCAGCCAGAGAAAAAAAGCAGCAGCCAGAGGAATTGTTGCTAGAGTCGACTCTGAGGTTTATTTCTGAAATCTCATCATATGCTAACCATGCAATAAATTCTCCAGCGAATTGATCAGCAAACTGTAGATATTGAGCCTTACTCAAATGACCAGCAACGAATCATTCCTAAAAATCTATAGGCATTCTTGTTTTTTTTTTTGTGGGATTTTGTTCCACAGAAGAAAAAACTACTGTCTGCATTTGCTTTTTGTGAAGCCTACTCTATCCCAGTGCCCTGGGATGTCTGCCCCACACAAAGGCATCCTGATGCAAACCCCACACAAGTAGGTTAAATAAATTGATATATCATGTAGCAATTGAGGAACAGAAGCAAAAGCAGGATTTAAAGTGATCTAGAGTGTAACATGAGGCTGTTAACCCCATAGCCCAGGATCCTTTTGATTATTTTCTCTGTAGTGCCTAGCACCTACTGTATCCATACAGCCCATTTTAACCGGCTCTTACTTAAAGCAAGTAGAAAATAAATTTTGTCATTAAAATGCACGTGAAGGTCCCAACAACAGCAAAGTTGATTTTGCAGTAGCAGTGCTTATTTCATAGGTTGCCTCTGGCATATTTAGAAACATAAGGGGCTAACTCAGCGACAAACAGTGTCGCGATGTGTTGTGCCCGCAGGGGAGGATTTGCTCTTCTACAGGAGATGTGCGTGGTTGCTGCCATTTTGCACATCAACCCAGGTAGCAGCTAGTAAGAGTGCTGGGAGTGGAAGGGAGTCCTCTTCTCCTTGACCTGTGCGTCCAGTGCTGGCACTGTGCTGCACGCTGCAATCAGGAGCCTCTTATAGATCAGTAGCTCAAAGCTATTTGGCACAATCTGAGCACAGAGCACAAAGACAAGTGGTATATGAAACACAGGGCACTTGACACACATTTCATTTAACCAATTTGCCATGGAATTTTTTAAAGTGATCTCCTTATGCATCTTGATGTGTCTTCCTGAGAGGTGGCCAGGCTCCAGCAGTTTCTGTCACAGGCTGGGGAGCAACTGAGGCAAAGCAGAGGATTCACGTGGCCGTATATGAAATACATATGTGAAATGGCTGGTCCTGCCTAGCTGGTTGGTCTCAGCTCCCATCGCAGCCGCGCTGGCGAAAGGGGTGTCAGGACAGGACCCAGCTCCCCACAGCATGGGCCCCCTCGGGTGCTCGTGCTGGGCTCCTGGTGCTGCCCCTCAGCCGTGTGAGTTGAGAGGAACCCAGGCTGCGGCCTTCAGCAGAGAAGGGAATGGTGCTAGGTCTGTCTGTGGTCCCAAGCCCATCACTGGTTCCAGCTCTGCTCCAGCCACTTATTTTGGGTGCACTGGCCTGACTGAGGCTGGGAGAATAGCTCTTCACGCTGCCCATAGATGCTGCTTCCATGGGCTGAGCAAGGAGCCCTGCACCACATGCTTTGCTATCAGGGGAATAAATAACAGCATGATTTCAACTGCAATCACAGCAAAGACACCTAGACTTTTCCTTCAGCGTACATCCTCTGCCCATGAGGAGCTGAATAGAAAATTCAGGCCATGTATTTTTTCTGGTGATAAACATCAGAGCCCAGCAAGCAGCTCAGTGGGGCTGTCAGCTCCCTGCTAAAGCTCTTGCTGAAATGGGCTGTTGATGTCGGTTAAATTAAAAGGAAGAGAGAGAAAAAGGACAGCAAGACAGGGAAGAGAGAATCAGAGAGACGCGACTGAAATGATACCATGCCCTTAGGGCACAACCCACCAGCAAGGGCGGCGGGGGGGATGAAAGTGTTTCATCTAAAACTAAACTGCTGTGACAGTGACATCTATTCAGATGTGGAATCAGCTCGCTGGTGTCTGGGGATGGGAGAGAGAGCCTTGTGCTAAGCCCTGGCTCGAGCAGAGCAGGAAAGAGTCCCGAGCCTCGTCCTGGCAGCGGGGAGACCGGGTTGTGGGTGCTAACTGCTTCTCCCCACAAAGGAACCCTTGGCATGAAAGCCAGGCAGCTTTGGAGGTGGGAATGCCAAGTGCTTTGTATTTGTGGCAGCCGAAAGGGTGCTGCTCAGCTGAGAAATGCAGTGTGCTGGAAGACAGGGTGGCAAGGGGAGATGGTTCAGACTCACGATACTACTTTGCTGCAGGGTTTTCCCATCAGAGAAGAGCTTTCCAGTGTTTCTACATTTAGAGTGAGATTCAGCTTCCATCTATCCTACAAATGGATCTTTCAAAACCTGCCTTTCTGCTTCAGGAATTGGCCCTCCAGGCATGTCCTTCCTGGCCTATCTTCAGAGACCTTTTTAGCCCATGGGCTGGGAGGGCCAGTGCATGAACCCGGAGATTTAATTTCAGAGGTGCGAAACACTTGTGCCCAAGTGCAACACAGCCTGGGAAATCAGCTCAGGAGCTTGCCGTGGTACTTCCACTCATGTTCGCTGCGGAGCCTCCATCTTGTGGTACTCGGGGCCATGTTGTCTGTCATCTCTGTCGTTCCGCGCTGCCTTCCGGCAAGGCTCATGAGCCGCAACATGCACCATCCTGCTGCCTGAGCTGGGTCTGTCTATCCCCACAGGGGAGCTGCGTGAGTCATGCTGCTCGGAGAGCGTGCAGAGTTCTTCCTTCTCGGGCCACCATTTACTAGAGTTGACCCCACAGGCTAGCTCCATCTCCTGACAGACTTTCCTTCCTTCTGCAGCCTCTTTCCAGGTCCTAGTCTCATCCGGGAAAAGTGCCAGGGCTTCCTTTCACGGGCACTTCGGGCTGTACAGGGCTGTGTGCGCAGGAGCTAAGTAGAGGCAGAAGAGCAGCACGTGAGAGCCACCAGCTGGGCCCACCTTCAAGAGGCCTTCACAGTGCCTTGGCCTCTTGGGATGGGCAACAACTCCAGACATGAACCCAAGGCAATGGGTTCCTAGGTCACACCTCGGATGAGCTGTTTTCCTGAGCAGGAAGGGAACGTGGCCTGGCTCAGGTGCAGCCCTATAGTGGCAGGGTTTTACCATGCATCTCCTGGTAGCTGGTGAGACATCTTCCTTCACTGGGAAGCACCTTCCCCTTGAGTCATGGTATTTCATGAGCTCCTTGTGGAAACAGGGAAGCCAAATTTCTGAGCTCTCAAGAAATTTTGGAAATTGTCATGACTTCGTCTTTCTGAGCTATAGACCTGGAATCAGATCGAAAGAACTATCTCCTAAAACCCGCCTCTTCTAACCCAGTTTCACGATTTGGGGTGAGGCCTGACTCACTGTTTTTAATGTTTGGTTGGGCCAGGTTGCTGCTACTGTTGGTTTAAAATCCGTTTTTGAGTAAGTCCGGCTTGTTTGCATGTGTGGTGGAGAGTTTCCAGCCATGCTGCAGCTCTGCTCCCAAATGATGTGCCAGAGCAGATGGGAAGCAGGATGCCAGCTCCACTCCTGCCCATGCTGCAGCCCCTGTGCGTGAGCCAACGTGGCTCAGATATTTGCATGCCGGCATGTGAACAGAGCTGCATCCCTTGGTCCTGTCACCTATGTACAAGAGAGCAAACCCAGCAACTCGCGCGGGAGTGCTCGGGTAGCCGCCTGCTTTGCCTCCTGCAGTTGCAACAGCCGCGTTGGCTGCTGCTTGCAGTACCTCTGAGCCTCACCGTGAGAACTAGAGCAGAGCCAAAATGGTGGTTTTGCTGTTCTCCCTCCAAAAACACTCGGCGCTGTGCCCTGCCAAAACTATTCAGCAATCCAAATGCTTCCCTTTGGCTTTGTTTTCCAAGTTTTACAAATTCAGAGGGCTGGAAGAAAAACTACAGAAAAGGGGGACAGAGAGGGGCAACAAAATCACTCAGACCCCCAGGGAAAAGGAAGTGAAGGTGGAAATCTTCAAGACAGACCTGTTGATGCATGGTAAAAGGTTTTTTTATTAGAACCAAAGCCAGATAGCAGTGCTCTTTGGGGTAACATGGAGCAGCAGAGCTCAAGACAGAGCAAATAACTGCTGAGAGGGATTTTCAGTGGCTTGCTTTGGTTCCTGTCCCTGTGACGCCACAGGCCTGGCTGCGTGCGAGGAGGAGGGCTTTGCTGCTGGGCTCCTCTCCACTCCCAAATGTCTCCGTGTCCCCAGCCAGGTGCCAGGGCTGCCAGCCAGGCCTGGCAGACACAGAAGCTGGGGTTCAACAGGGATCTTTTTCCATCGCCCACAGGGCTGTGGCTCTGCAACAATGACTGAGAGGGAAAAAAAAACTCCTCCAGCAAATGACCTAATTGATCCTCCCCAGACAGTTTCTCAGCAGGGGTGAACCAGCATAACTAGTATAGCTGACCAGGGCATCCCAAGCTGAGCTCTTCTCTTGGCAAAGACTTGCCAAGAGAAGAGAGCTCTGGGTAAGTAAAGGGTGACAGCCTGAGCCAGCAAACAAGTCCTCAGACTGGCTCTTGGCCTTGTGATGGGAGTTAGTTTGGCCCAAATGCAGAGCCAAATTTGCATATGGGACAAGCAGGTCCAGTTCTGCAGGGCTGGTAATTACTGCAGGTCTCAGGTTGACTCTAAATAGCCGCTGACCTATCTAGTGCTTTTGACTTCATTTCTCCCATTGCCCGTTCTCAGCTTCACTCTAGACATGAACATATCCATCAGTGCATCCATCCATCCCACATCCATCATAGCAGGTTGGAGGGGGCTTCCCTCTGACCCAGCTCCTCTTGGGCATTAATAGGGCACCTCGGAATCAGAAAGTTTGGGGAACTGCCCTGTGCCTTGGTGCACATACTGGTGAGGATTGAGAGAGGGGCTCTCAATCCTGGAAAATCTTACTTCATCACATGACTGTTCCTTCCTTTTTCCAGCCCAGGTGAGGCCAACAGAGTCTCCTGTCAGCCTGAAGAGCAGAATCACTGGAAATGCCTCTGTGGAGTCAGGTGAGAGCAGGAGGGACGAGGAAAATCCCTGCTCAGCACCTGCCTCACCAAGTGGGAGTAGGTGAAAGCCCTTGAGACAGAGAAGCTTGCATTTCTGGAGCTCATCTCCTTGGCAAGCACATGCGGCCACATCTTGGTGCAGAAGGAAGCGTGTAGGTGGGAGGGCTTGTGGGTCCCGAGCCCCTGCAGATGAGCAGCCTGGGGGCACCGCTACCTGGCCAAGAGGGGTGCCTTCCTGCATCCTCACACGTGCCTGTGGTCCACGCAGGCGTCCTTGACATGGCTGCGCTCCGGCTGGCAAACGGCAGCGGTCCCTGTGGAGGAACGGTGCAGGCGCTGCACCACGGGCAGTGGACACCAGTGTGCCGGGAGTCCTGGAGCATCGCCGCGTCCCGCGCGCTCTGCAAGCACCTGCACTGCGGAGATGCGGAGGAGCCCAGTGTGGCAGACGCTGCTGCTGTGGGGCCAGCTCCCTTCAGCCCCAGAGCCATTCCCTCAGCACACACTGTCTGCGTGGCCACGATGGCCAACTGCAGTGGCTGGGAGAAGGGGCCCTGCCTGCTGCCTTTGGGCATCGCGCCCCACTGCTGCAGAGCAGGGCTGGCTCGAGCTACCTGCACAGGTAAGAGCTGGAGGTGCCCCAACCCATTGGCCAACCCTCTCCTGCAAGTCAGTGCCACCCGGATGTGTCTACTAGGTCCCCACAGGCTGCGGCTGGCGGGACGCCGACGTGGTGTGCCGGCAGCTGCAGTGCGGCTGGGCTCTGCACGCGCTGGGCAGCGCTGCCTTCGGCCGGGGCACCGGGCTCATCCTGCGGGACGACGTGAGCTGCCAAGGGCACGAGGACCGTCTGTGGGACTGCCCCGCCGTCCAGGAACACGACTGCAGCCACAAGGAGGATGCTGGGGTGGTGTGCTCAGGTCAGTCCCTTGCGCCCGGGTGCTGTCTGTCCTCTGGAGCAGCCTTCCCCCAGATGCCAGAGACAATCCCCCGCACAGAAGAGACTTAACGGGGTTTATTTTCCCCTGAGAAGGGGTAAATCCCCCGGGAAGGAAGCGCCTGGTGTTTATCCTCATGGGATGCAGGTCTGCATGTTCCTGCCGGTCCCCAAGATCTGCCCTCTTCTCCGCAGAGCACCAGCAGTGGCAGCTCTCCGGAGGCCAGGATGGCTGTGCTGGCCGTGTCGAGGTCTTCTTCAGGGGCACGTGGAGCACGGTGTGTGACAGCACGTGGTATGAGATGGAGGCCAGCGTGCTGTGCCACATGCTGGGCTGCGGGCCGCCCCTCGAGCGGCCCTCCTTCAACCACACGCTGCCTGGCAAGATGCTTTACGAGTGCACGGGGCTGCAGCCATCGCTGGCCCATTGCAAGTGGACCTACAACAAGTCAGCTCCTTGTCACCAGTCCCGGGCAGCTGGTGTGATCTGCAATGGTATGTGACAGCCCTCTGCAGCCGAGGGGCAGGAGCTGGAGTCATAACCAGCTTGCCCCCATCTCCAGCTTTGCCTGCCAGGCAGCATTTCCCTGCTCTAAGGCATCCCTGGCTGGCCACGGAGATGAGTACCAACCCGAAGGCTGAGCTCTTGCGTATAACTGTGGGTCCCCCATACAAATAAGTTGCAACTCTGCTTTTTCTGCCCCAACCAATTCCTGCCTCGCCTTTTATCCACTGTCCTTCCAGGCTCCCAGGGCTTGGAGATGCCGACCACAATGGAAACACCGACACAAAGCAGTGTGACACACCTGAACTGTGAGTCTGCACGGCAGAGGCATCCCTGTCCCTGCTTCTCAGAGCCTCAGTCATAGTCTGAGTGTGGGGGCACCATGGCGATCTCTGCCCAGGGAGAGATGTGTGGCAGCATTGGCCTGCAAGGGGCATCCGGCTCGCCTACGTTGCTGCTGAGCTTGGGGAGGGCAGGGAGGGAAAGGGGAGTTCCAGGTGTCACGAGGTTTGTCTGTTCTCTGTCTCACCATCCACAACTCTGTCCCAGCTGGGGATTCCCCGAGTGAGGGAACCCAGATCCCGCCACTCCTCATCGTGTGCATGGTTCTGGGTGCGCTGCTCCTGCTCACCACTCTGGCGTTCATCATCACCCTGCTGAGGATGAGGAAGATGAATGGTAAGGAGCCCTCCGGAGGCATGTGCAGAAGGGTCTGCCCGCAATGGAGGCTATACTGTGCTCTCAGTTGGGGTCTCCCCAGGCTCATCACAGCCATAAGAGCTGGGCTAACTGGGCCCCATGCCAGCTGAGGAGGGACCCTCTCTGTCTTTGCAGCACACACTGTGTCCTCTCCCTTGCTCTCTGGGCCAGTTCTGGTGACCCACAGTGCTCAGGGCCCTGATGTGCCCTCTGCAGTCTCCAACGACTACAGGCAGATGCCCCTCACTCTCCAAAAAGGACAAGGTAGGACCAGCAAATTGCTCCCATGCATCCTGGCTCCAGGGAGCACCAGGATGAGGCCCAGAACCCGGCCTGTCCTTTGCCCTCACGGCCATCACCAGACAGCCCCGCCACAAGCTGCAGGGCTCCTCTTTGACGCGCATCTCCAGCCAGTGGTGGCCAGGAGCTGGTCTCAGGCTTAAGGGCCATGGGGCAGGAGATCCCAGGTGGTGACGGCCTGGCTGGGGGGGGCTCAGACCAGCCACTCGCACTCCCTCTGGCAGCCAAGGACTCCGACTCCGACTCTGACTATGAACACTATGACTTCAGCAGCAAGCCACCTGTGGCCCTCTCCACCTTCTACAGTGAGTGTGCCCCTGGGTGCCTGGGCATCACCATACCCTGGGCACGGTGATGCACCAATCCAGCCCCCTTTGCGCCCGCACCAGAGCGGACATACTGTTCCTCTCTTGTGCAGACTCCCTGCGACGCCAGCCGGGGGACCAATTGCTCCCACTGATGCCGAGCCAGGATGGGACGGTCCCTGCAGAGGGTACAAAGGGCCCTGGGGGTTGTCCTGGGATGGGGAGGGACTTGGTGAAGCGGCTCCTCTGCCCCGCAGCACCCTCCGTGTACCTGCCCCGCCAAGGGGGGGCCTGGGCAAGCAGTGGCCCGGAGGCTGATGCAGTCCCTGTGCCGTGCAGAGACATCCGTGCTGCTCCCCCAACCCTGCAGCAGAGCAAGCAGCTCCTCCAGCTCTGCAGAGTCCTACTGCAACAGCAATGCACCTCCGCCGTGCCCCTGGAGCTGCCTGCAGCCCCCCGATGACAGCAGCCACCTGAATGCAGCGCCCGCCGCGTACGGCAGCGCTGGGGACTCCCCCGCAGGGCAGGGGGGGCCTGGCCATGCGCAGTGGGGCTGCGATGTCCCGGGGATGGGGACAGGGAGGGGACGCCCCAGGGAGGGGAATGGGGATGGCGAGACCCCAGGAAATGGTGAGACGCCAGGAGATGAGAGTAAGGATAGGGACAGCCGTGGAAGGGGGAGGGCCATGGTGAGACCCCAGGGGATGGGAGCAGGGATGGAAGAGGTCAATGAAAACCTCCTGATCTCCCCGGCTTCCCTGGGGGACATGCCTGTCCCTGTCCCAAAGCTCTCCCATCCCTGAGTGCCTGTTTTTCCCGCAGAGCCCAATCCTGCGGACAGCTCCAGCACCTCGTCAGGGGAGTGGTACGAGAACGTGCAGGGCGCAGAGGCAGCCAGGGACGCGTCCGTGTGCTCTGGTGAGGATGCCACGCTGGCAGGGGAGACAGGAGCAGGGCTGCGGGGCACCTCTGCCCTGCAGCATCGCGCACAGGCTCCTCCTGCAACCGCAGCCCCCTGCCCAGCCTTTCCTGACCGGCCCTTCCTTGCAGGTCGGCCGGCTCCTTCCTGCCCCTCGGGGGGATGTGCGCAGGACCCTGACACCTCGGACGGCAGCGACTACGATGACATGCAGGCCTCTGCCTACTGAGGCTGGCAACGGGCCATCTCTAGGCTGTCCATTGCCCTCCATCCACCCAGCTCCAGGGACGGGGTCCCCGGCTGCTAACGCCACAGGACTAGCATCTGCATCTGAAGGAAAAATAGCCGTGGTGCAGGCCAAGACCTGGGCAGACAGACACAGCCACCAGCCTGTCACAGGGAAAGGCAGCACAGACCCCAGAAATCGGTCCCTTGCGGCCCGGGCCTGACCTTCTTACGAGTGCCCACAGTACCGAGGAGCATCCAGACGGTGGGTCGGGGTACACAGCGATGCAGGGCTGAGCCAGCTTCACGGACGGGAAAGGAGGGCACAGTCTCCTGGATGGGACCACTTGGCATCTTGTTGTGGCCGTCTCCTCCAGGAATCTTCTCTGGACACTTTCTGCGTGCTGGGGCGGGGGACGGGACAGTGTGAACACCAGGCCTAATAGCACGCTTGGATAGGACAGGGATGTTGGAACAGGCGAGCGGCTCTGCCAGGCTCCATGCAGCCATTAAAAGCTTTTCCCAGTGGGTAGCTGAAGTAAGTGGGTCGCCGTGTCCTGTGGCACCGGGTGGCTGAGTTGGTTGGTAGCGATCCCCAGAGCAAGGCCGTTTCCCCAGGCACCTTCCTCTACTCCTGTGCCCTGTTGTTGCTGTCCCCGTTTTGCAGGACTGAGCACCACAAGCCAGATGCCCATGGCAGGAGGTCCCCTAGCTGGGCATGGGCAAGGTGGGAAGAGCCAGAGGTCCTGTTCCCCAGCCTGCCAGAGCAGGGAGGGCATTGGGTCACAGGGATGCAGGGTGACAGGGATGTGGGATGGCAGGGACTGGTGTGGCAGCCCCCTAACCATTCCTCTGCAGCTGCAGAGCCAGCACTCACCCTGTGCCTTCCCGTTCCCCGCCAGAACTTGGTCCTCCACACCCCAGGCCCTGCTCCTGGGGACACACAGGCCTATAAGCCCTCACCAGGGCACTCAAGGGATGCCGGCAGCCAGGATCCAGCCCATAGCACAGCCGTGCGGCTCCAGATCCTGTGTCTTGTCCTGTCTCCTCCATCCCCACGCTCCCCGTCCTTTGCTGAGCCCGAGGAAGAACCCAAGCCTGACTGAAACAAGGTCACCCAAAGCTTAGCAGAGCTGAGGTCACTGCTGGCCTCGGTGTCCACATGCAGCCCAGCCGAGCGCAGAGTGCAGCACCCAGCAGCCAAACTGCAAACCGAGGACCCCACGTGCCCAGTTCTTGTGGCCCACGGCCCCCTCCTTCCCCTACACCGGGTGCCCGGCGCGCTCTCCAGAGCGCTTTGCCACACAGCAAAGCACATGGCGCCGCTGCACTGCACACACCTCTTTCCACTGGAAAGCCTAACCCCGAAGTGCATCTTCCTGCCTTGGCTCCTATCACCCCATCTGCGGGTTTCCATTTCCCTCCCGCAAGGACAACTTCCTCCCGCCGAAGCCCTGCTCCTCGCACGGCGGTGCTGGCGGCCCCGTGGGCGCTGGGGGGACCTACCTCGTGGCGGCGGGGGGGAAGCTGCCTCAGTGGAAAATTTGCCCCCCACCACATCCTTCAGCTGTTTACCGAGCGGAGCGGCCCCGGCAGCCCGAGAACAAAAGGGCCGCGCCACTTGCCGCAAGAATGGAGGAAGCACCGAAATAGCAACAAAGCGGGTTGCAGCTCCCAGACAAAGGGGAGAGGAGACAAAAGAGACGGGTACGAGGAAATGGCTGGCTGCAAGTGCTGGGGCAGGGGACATGGGCTGCCGATGGGGAGCTGCATTGCTCTTGCATTGGAGCCCAGCCGGGCTCACAAGAGCCAGGGATGGGAGGGACGTCGACACAGGGAAAAGGGTGGCAAAGTCCTTCGTGCATTTGCAAGGGTGCTTGGCAGCACCACACTGACCCCAGCATATCCAGGGAGCGGTTGCATCGCCCTGTCCCTGGCACAGTCCTTCCACCAGCATCCTCAGCGTGGAGGACCAGGGACCTCTGCTCGCTCGCGTTCCTGCCCAGGCTTCGGGGTGACGAGGCAGAGGGGTCATCACCAGCCACGACAGCACTACATCAGGGCCAAACGTTTATTCGCAGCTGCTGCAAAATGCTGTTTCTACCAGCAGCGGTGGTATTTATGCACTTGCATGTTGATGGCAGGTGCTGAGAAAAATCACCTCCGTGATCATTAGGATAACAACGCCACAGCAACAGCTAACAAGCTGGTTCATATTTATACTGAAAGCAGTTCCTACACTTTAAGTGGATGCTTCTCATAGGTACGGAGTGCATTGGTACATCCGATCACTCCCCCCATCCTCAGCTCCTCTGGAAAGATTTTATGAACATCTTCATCTGTCACAACACATAGATGATGCCCTCGTGCCCAGATTAAAGAGTGGGTCGATGTACATCACAGGTGGTTTGCAGGGGTGCTGGAGCAGAGCCGACGAGTGAATATCATGTGTGGTGTCTCGAAGCAGCTCTGGCCTCCAGGTCCAAACTCCTCTTCAAGAGGAGACCTGACCAGCTGCCATCCAGGCATCCCATGGGATTTAGGCACTCTGTGGTCATTAGGGTAAGATTTGGGATTCTCCCGGCTAGATGTCCCATCACAGAGCTGGCTGAGTTACTGGTGCAACTAGCCCAGACATTCACCTTGCGCGACAGGCTCATCTCCATAGGGATTTCCTGGTCTGGCCGCAGGCACCGCTGCTCCCAACAGTTCTTCTTCCCCTGCACGTTCCTCCTGCATCGTTTCAGCACGAGGCTGCAACAAACGCAGCAAGCCGGGCGAAGCACATCCTAGCGCGCGTGCTTCACAGCACAGCCCAACTGCAGCAGATCAAAACACGCTTTCCGTGCAAACGCGCTCGCAGCGGGTTTGCTGCTTCGAGCCTCCACCTAACGAGGGATGAAATGCTGCTAACCACCCTGGAGCCCATGCTCTCCGTGCTGTAATACACCCGTGAATAAGCGAGCAGGGCTGCCATCAACTATTCATGTGCCCTGCTGCAAAGTGCAAGCAAACATGTAAACGGGGGAGCGCTCTAGCATGAATATTTACAAAAGAGCAAGTGTTTAGCCCAGAGACTTACTGAGCCATTGCTCAGCTGCCAGCAACACCACCAGTGCCAGCTGCTTTGCAGGAGCCTGCTTGTGTGATAAAACCTGGCTGAAAACAGGGATCAGAAAGGCTAAAATCATACCAGAGGGCAAGCCAAGGCAGGCACTGGGGCATTGCGCAGCACAGAGGTCACGGGGGAAAAGCAACGTGACTTCATGGAAGGAAAATTTTGCAGGAATTGCTATTTTTCATCAAGACAAAATGATTTTCTTACTCTAGCGTTAAATGCTAGTGGTCAGCATGGAAAGAGCCCTGTGGAGAGCAGCGCATGTTTGCCTCTCTGTCATTGTAACTCAGCACAGGGGAGAAAAAGAAGAGGGTAAGAAATAGGGAGGAAAAAAAAGTCTTTCTGCACTTGGATGATTTTTTTTTCCAGGTAGTAAACAGTAAAAACAATTTTCAGAAACATGGCCCTTGCCTGCTTTCACCCGTGGATAGTAATAGAAATGGTACCTGAGACTGGCATACGCCTTCAGCTGCTGTGATTTTGGCCTCACCTTCCCTAGCACCCCCTGAGCTGCATGAGAAGGATTTGCCCGTACAGCCTGAAAACAGTCAGCGCCAAGACCCAGCAGCCAGGAAAATAGTCAGCACCAAGACCCAGCAGCCAGCAAGGGATCTGAGCAGCACCAAGAAAGCCCAGACGTGGAGGCAGTGCTGATGCTGGTCTCCTTGGCGGTACATGGGGATCAACCGGCCCTCCCTGGCTTGCCTGCTCCCACCTGGTGTCGCCTTTATCTCCTGCCTTGCCAGGACCCTGCCCCTCTGCAGCAGGAGCAAGCGAGAGCCCTGTGTGTGCTACAGCCCAGGGGAGGATCCCCAGGCCCAGAAAAAGCTCCCTGTGCCATGCTGGCATGGAGCAACTCTGCCATCCTCTCTGACCATCTCTGAGGTTCTCCTGAGCATCTCTGCCATCCTCCCCAAGCATCTCTGCCATCCTCCCCGAGCATCTCTGCCCATCCTCCCCGAGCATCTCTGCCCTCCCACTGCCCCGCCAAGCTTCCTCTTGAGTCATGGAAAATCTTCAGCCCGGCACTAGTTTTGGGGCAGGAAACTCCCAGAAGAGCCCGGGCCGGACCGGGGGAGGCGGAGGAAGCGGGGCTGGGTGGCACAGCTGAGGACCTGGGCAGCACGAGGCCGCTGCTGTGGGTCACAGGGAAGGGACAGCGAGCACAGGGACACCTCGCCTCAGCATGAGGTGCGAGAGAGAACGCGAGGAGGAGGACAGACTTGCCAAAACCTCATCAAACAGCCCCCCCAGGCACGACAAGCAGCCCGGCATCCAGGCACACGTGAGACACTCTCCCCTTCGCAGAAAAACCCCCGGGCCGATGGAAAGCAGCCATCCTCATTAGCATGCATGACCTGGATTTGGAAGGATTAATTAGGGCATAATCGACGGCCCCCCTCTCCCTCCGCTCTCCAACACCACTGCACCCCGTGCCGGGGGGGTCACGCAGCTCTGGCTGCTGCAGGTTTCCTGCCCCAGAGCAACAAAGCTGCTCACCTCGACTGGCAACCGCAGGCGGCGATAAGGGAGTAAATATAGACGGGGGAGAGAAAAAGAAAGCTGGTGAGGGCAAGGGGAAGCTGTGGCTGAAGCGGGGAGGCTATTTCTGACAGGGACTGGAGTTACGTAAGAGCAATCTCGGCTCTCCCCAGGTGGGATCCCAGCCCAGACAGACCCTCAAGGCCATGGGCAATGAGTTTAAAACAAGCACTGGTTTCCCCACTGCAATGCAGTGTCCGCTCTCCTGGCAGCATGAGCATGCACTGAGCTAGTTCATCGACACCCATAGTCAAGGGATCTCTCGCTAGACGTGGGATTTTCCCTCGGCGAAGGCAGCTTGCTGCCTGATTTGAATATACAGAAACCCTCGGTGTGGGCTGGGATGGGCGTGAGGATGGGGATAGATGGAGATGGGGGTGGGAATGGAGATGAAATGGGATGGGGATGGGGGTGGGAATGATGATGGGAATGGGATGGAAATGGAGAATGGGGATGGACATTGCGGTCAGGCCTGAACCCTCTGGGCTTCTTTCTCCTCATCACTCTTAAGCATTCTGCAGGATCTGGCAAGAAGCTCATGGGTTCAGACTTCAAACAAGCGAAGTGTGACGCAGAAACCACAGAGGGAGGAAAAACAGACTGTTCCTCCCAGTCCCCCCCTTACCGCCCTTCCCCAGGCTGGGTGGCAGAGGCGTCAGCACCCCAGGCACCCTCCTGCTCAGCCACCAGCGGTCCCAATGGGAGCCCAGCACCCCACGCTGGGGCTGCTGCTCGCCGTGGGGACGTGGGGTGAGTACCCTGGGTGGGGGTGATCCCCCTGGGGGCTGGCGGGTTGTGCCGGGGTCCTGTGCGGCGGCAGCGTTTGGGCTCAACACAAGGCGCAGCTCCAGCACCGTGGGCTGTGCTAGGTCTGTGCCCCAGGGCTTGTCCATGGAACAGGCTGGGGCTGGGCATCCCATGCACTCACCCTCCTCAGCCCCTCCTGCCAAGGAGGAGAGGTTTGGGATGGCTTTGTAAGAAGGGCTAGGGCGCAGAGAAAGGGGCTTTGAACTTAAAAAGCAACACAAAGGCATGGGGCTCTGCCCTGCTACAGCCCGAAGCAAAGTGTGAACCCAAGGGTTGCTACAGCTGGGACCATGTGGGTCTTGGCCCCCAAAACTCCTGGTCATCCCCTCCTCTCCCAGGACGGTCATTACCGGCCCAGCACTACATTACCATCCAGATACTCAAGGGCACTCTGCTCTCCATCTGCAGACATAGGAGCTCATGCATTAGCATCTCCTTCCAAAGCAGCTGCTGAGGAGCATTGGGTCCAGCTCCAACCACCCCCGTGTTTCTCCCGGCACAAATGTCCCCTGTGCTGGGACCACGCACGCCCAGGAGTCTCTGCTCACGGGGGTCACACCATCTCCAGAGCCTCCCCAGTGACGGAGAGTGTGGGTCAGGCAAACCAGATTTAAACAAAAGTGGTTGCCCTCACAGGCGCTGAAACCTGCCTGGCTGAAATAAGCAGCAATAGCCACAAGCAAAGGTACCTGCGGGTGCTCGGTTCTGCCTGGCGTGCACTGGAGGCCGGGCTTCTGGGGCACTTGGTGCCACGGGGATGCCATCAGATAGGCCTGCCGTGCAGCTAGCCTGGCAGGAAGAAGTACGGCCAAGCCACATGAGGTTGTTCGTATACTTCTTTTTAATTAAAGGCGTGAGGAGGAGGAGGTGAGAGTAGATTCCCCACGAAAGTCAGAAAATGCTCTTTTATGCCTGAGGAAAATGGTGTTGGGAGAGAAGAGGGTGGATGCACAATGCAGAAACTCCAGCGTGTTAAGCAAGTTAGAGATCAGGATTCTGGGCTCTTAGCAGCGGCAAAGATGTCGATTTTCCCTGGTGAGCAATGAGGAACCCAAGCAACATGCAGAGGCCCATGGTAACTAGTGAATCTTGTGCAGAAATAGCTTCTGTCGGCCAGGAGCCTGGAGACACTGGTGCCCCCCATCCGCTGGGGACTCGTCGGGGCTCCACACACCAACTCCGGCCATGGCCACCCAGCACAACGGCTCCCAGGGCAGGTGATGGGCCATGGGGAGCCTGCGCAGGTGCTCTAGGGTCCCTGACCGCTTCCTTAGCACATGTTGCTCACTGCGAGCTTGGCCCTGGAGCTGCATGGTTCATCTCGGCAAGGAGCCAGCCAGCAAGAAGCCTCTCACATGTTTTTAAGGCTATATTCTTAATACAAGCAGGACCCTCAAATGCCTTCAAGCAAGTGTTGCTAGGAGGGTAACATCATCAAAAGGCTTGGGACACACTGCATGGTCTGGGACGGGGGTTTCTTTGCGTCTCCCTTTGTGTCTCCCTTTGCACGGGACGCTTCCCACAGCAGAGGTGCTCTCAGCCTGTGCAGTCCCATCGCTGCGCAGGGGCAGGAGCACAACTCACGTCTCTCTCCTTTGCAGCCCTCTGCAGCTGCAGAGAAGATGCTACAAGCCCTGAAGGTGAGTGTGGACGTGGAGCCAGCCCTCCCAGGCGCCCGGAGCCCCCACGCAGACCCTGCGGATGCGGCCTCACCCGCAGGGCACACGCATCTCAACCCGTGCTTTGAGCTGCACCTCTGCGTGCATCCCCTGATTGGCGCCTTTTCCTCCCTCCTCCATTTTGCGAGCAGCCTTCGCTGCCATTTCAGAGCAGGCAGGTGCCCTGGAGCCAGGCACGTCTCCCCGCTGAGGAGCAGCCCTCGGCCTTCCAAAGGCCGGTCCTGCCGGCTGCAGTGGTGCTGGAAACCATGCTGATAGCTCGCGGGACAAGGAGGAAAGCCCCTAATACCTGTGCTTTCCCCGCAGAGCCGGCCTTGCGGCTCACCGGTACAGGCTGCCGATGCTCGGGGGTGCTGGAGGTGAAGTGGCTCG